GAGTTTCATTTACAATGCAAGTTCAAGGACAGCCTGAACTACAGGAGTTTTAAAAAAAGAGGTGGACGAGGATGGACAGCTCAGTTGGCAGTTTGCAATGAGAGCCTGAATTTGATTCTCAGAGTGCACACAAAGCCAGATGTGGTGGTACACTCATACCACTGCTAGGGAGACAGAGACAAGTATGGCTCATGAGCTAACTAACTAGGCCAATTATCCAGCCTCACAATAGTGAAAAACTATCTCAGTACGATAGCTCAGCAGGTAAAAGTGCTTGTCGTGCATGTCTGACCACCTGAGTTTAGACCCCACTAGGTAATACATTGTCTATATAATCCAAGCCAGCATTACTCTGGCAAAATTGGAGGTAGAAACAGAGGAATACACCTGAAGCAGGCCAGCTATATACTGGTGTACCTAGTGCAGCAGCAAACAATGAGACCTTGTCTCTAAAACGGCAGAAGGCAAGAACCAAAAGTAGAGATTGCCCTCTGACCTACCTACACACACACACACACACACACACACACACACACACACACACACACACACACACACACACACACACGGGGGGGGGGGGCAGCGGCGCCAAGGAGTACAAACACAGGGGAGACAGAGATGGCTTGGATTATAAAGTACCAGCTACACAAGCATGAAGACTTGAATTTTGAATTCCAGAATCCATGTTTTTTGGGTTTGTTTGTTTGGTTGGTTTGGTTTGGTTTGGTTTTTTAAAGGCCAGGCATGTAGGCACACTCTGTTAATCACAGCACCAAGGAAGCAATGATAGATGGACACTTGGAGCCCACTGGTTAGCCACCTAACCTAATTGGTAAGCTCCAGGCCAAAGAAGAACCCTGTCTCAAAGAAAGTGGGTGGTTCCTGAAAAATACCACTCAAAACTGACTTCTGTCTTCCACTTGTATCACAAACACATGTGCCCACATGAACACACACACATACTCATACTCACACTCCTAAAATTCCAAGTCTATACAAGAAGGAATGGAGTCGATTCAATTATCTATGACCCCAACCCTCTAAAGGCAGGTATGGAGTTTCAGGGACAGTTTAGTCTACACAGCAAGTTTCAAGCCAGTCAAGGCAATATAGGGAGACCCAGTCTCTATATCCCTTTACTACCCAAAAAGGTATAATGGAGCTGCCAGCATAAGTATTTTTAAAAGACTGTAAGAAAGCCACATACCAACTCCCCAAACAACCATACAAGTTATTAAAGGAGCTGCTCTGCTCTGGACTGTGATAACAACTGGGTCTCAGTGAGTACTGACTGGCAGCCAAGCCTGTTTACTGAAATGGAAAAACAATACCTACATTTACATAACAGATAATCTTTCATGAGTTCATAGTAAAGAAATAACAACTCCTTGAGGTTCATATTCAGTAGTAGGGCTAATTTATAAAACATGGGGGGGTAAAAAAAAAAAACCAAAACAGGCCAATTTCCATGGCCTAGAAAACACTTATGATTGAGTTTTTACTTCTGACACTATCCTTAACATGTAGCTAAATTATAAAATTCCTATCAAGTCCTCAGTGGCCTTTTAAGCATCTGTGTACTTCCCATGACATTTTCTGATGTTTTCACTCTTTCTGATAAATTCCTCGCAGCAAGCTCTTCTAACAGAATATAATTAGAATAGTGGCCATGGGTTTTGGAATTTAGCTCACTGAAAGGCCCTGGATTCGGTCCTCAGCTGGGGGTGGGATTGGGAGGAGGGGGATGAGGGAGGATGGATGGCATATAGTCAATAAAACAAATATGAATGGGAAGAAAATATAAAGTATAAAATTATAATTACCCAATATTCTCCTGTCATTAAAAACTAGCTTGGAGAAAAGATAATCAGAACTATGAGAAAACATAAAGCAGAAACAAGAAGACCTAAAGGGAGGAAGGGGAAATGTTACCATGAACTGCGCATGACCCAGAAAGAGTCTTGAGGGGCAATCAACCATGGAAAAGGCAGACTGGGAAAGGGTACAAGGCTGGAATCAGAACTACATTCCAGAAGAGGAAGAACAGCTGATAAAGAAGGTTAGGAGGAAAAGTGGGCAGAGTATCTATAGAGGATTATTCAGAAACTGGTACATTAAGTATGTAAAAGTGAGATGCTATTCAGCCAAACATTACAAGGAGGCTTTTTGGTAGGTTGGTGGCCTGGTGTGTAGAGTGTTCAATAGATACCGAAGGAAAGTTAAAGAATGGGTCAAAATCACTACACAAATGACCTACAACTTTTTACAAAATAACAATTCACAAACCTAGTAGACAGGGTGCTTGCCTTTGAATTCTAACCACCACCCTTATTTCCCTTCTGAGCAAATTATACCCATATAAGCAGGCCCTATACATCACCAACATACTCATATTTCAAAAGTATACCTTTTAAAAGCACATATTGAAATCTTTATAGAAAAATAATTGTATGTCTGAAGTACACTTCAAATTAATCCAACAGGAATACACAAGAAGTAAGACTGGCCAAAAGTTTATCATACTTGAGCCTGGGTTCACAATGTCTCTCTGTTCAGTTCTAAGTGTTTGTTAGTTTTTCATAATAAAGTTAGCATACTCTCCTACTGAGAATCTGTAATTGTCTTCTGATAATGACTGGTAGCAACACCATTGCTCCAATACACATTAATGCACCCTTTTACCCAGTGTATCTGAGTCTTTCCTTATTCCACTTCGATTGCCACTGCCTAATCCAGGTCATCATTATCCTTTCTCTGTCCTATTTGTCTCCAAAATGGTTCTCCATGGGACGCTACTGGCATTTTAGGTCAGATAATTCTCTGACATGGCAGACTGCCCAAATATTACAAAACATTAGCATCCCTGTACCCCTCGTAGTTTATGCCAGTACACCAACAGCATCATCTAACTGCACTGGAATACCCAAAGCCATACATACCATTATTAAGAATTTAAGTTCTAAAAGCAGACACATCTTTTCAACATAATCAGAATAAAGGTGTGGCTCTTCATAGACTACAAATTTAGTGCCCTATCATTTAGATCAGTTGTATCTTTTCCTGGCCATACCTTCTACTTCTACCTGAATAATACCCTCCAACTGTTCAGGCCAATGACTCAGTCACTTTCTTCATACTGACTACAACTTTCTACCTTCCATATTTGGAAACGTCACCAGCCTACAAACATGGGCTTCTCAAGTCTGAGCATTAACTGTCCATCCCTAAGAACTCAACTTTCTCAAGCTTCAGTGTTTCATTTGGGTGGAGTTTCCTCTAGCCTTCCAAATTTGTACTCACCTGTTCAACTCCTCAAAGTTTCCTCTGAGGCACACCTTCAGTTCCCGACTTGGGGTTTCTGTTGCTGTGATAAAATACCTCGCCAAAAGCAACTTAGGGGAAGGGGGAGGGGTTATTTCAGCTTACAACTCCCAGATCACAAATCTATCAATGAGGTAAGTTGGCCAGAACTCAAAGTAGGAGCTGAAGCAGAAGTCATGGAGGAGGGCTTCCTTCCAGCTCTATGGCAGGTTTAGTTTGTTCTCATAATGCACTACAGGACCACCAGCCTAGGTGTGGCACCTCCACAATGGCCTGGGTCCTTCCTTGTTCACCACTAATGAAGAGTGTGCCCCACAGGCTTGCCAACAGATCAATCATAAGGAGGTATGTCTCTCAATTGAGGTTCCCCCTATGACTCTTATCTTTGCCAAGTTGGCAAAAAAAACTAGTTAGCACAGCTCCCTACTCAAAATCAGATGCTCCCTTTAGATTTCATAATATCACAGAAGTTGTATAAAACTCTCCAAGAAGTATGAGCTCTCCGAGTAGGCACTGGTCTGCCCAGTTCTCAAACACCAGCAACAGATGTTCACAGAGGGCATTCTCTGGTCTCTTGAGCACACTGAGGTTTGTTTGTTTGTTTGTTTGTTTTGCTTTTGTGTCCAAAAAAGACATAACAGTAACTAGCAGTGCTAACAGTACCCACCTTCTGTATAGAATCTGGTAACTATGTTAAGAAGGACAATTATAATGTCAAGGCCTCTGCAAACTCCCACACTTGGGGGTTATGTATTGACTTAACAGAAGGAATCTTAGCCCTATTTAAGCTACCACCTTAACTCCTGTTGTAATAAAGTGTATTCTGCACATGAGATCAATTCCACAATGAACAGCCAGCCTCACGATCCATTTCAATGGAGGAGGGAGTTCACTAACAATTCGGTAGTTTACCAAGCTATATGTTTCTAATGAGCTTTTCTCTTAAACAGGAAGATAACTTTCCACGTGTCTCTCCAGCTTCCTAATCCAACATGATCTTTCCGGGTTGTAAAGTGGACAGCAACTCCTTTCCCCTCCTGGTAATGTCCAGGCTTCCCGCACAAATGGGACAGCTCGCCCACTGGCTACACCACCTGCCGCGTGGAAGGTTCCAAGAGCTTTCCCGAAACACCTTAGCGCAGAGCCAGGTCAAGGCTAAGGACGGTTCACACCATCCGCCGGGGCTGCGTCCTAAACTTTTTCCTTAAATATATATGCTTTCAGCGTTCATTTGTCCTCAGAGACTAACACATAAACAAAAACTGGTTCAACAAGCAAGCAAGAACGAGGGGTTTGAAACCTGACCAGAGGGGGAGAAAAAAATGAGCAGCTATAAAAGATACTTGGGAGCCTTTCCACCTGAGCTACTGACCGGAGCCCACCGACGCGCCGCGGACCCCAGAGCAGGCAGGCTGCGGGCGGCCATGGCGACCTCGGGGCCCGACGGGGGCCGCGAGGGGCCAACAGCGCAAAGCTGGCCCGCGCACAGCTGCGACGCGCCTCCGCCGCCTCCCGGCCAGGCAGCCCCGAGCTCCCGGCAGAGCCCGGGGCCCAGCCGCCAACCGGCCGCGCCCGGGGCGCCGGGGGTCTCCGGGGCAGGAGCCCTTTGTCCCGGGACTGCGGCGCCCCGGTCTGCCCTCGCCCGGCCCCGAGGGGCTGCGGCCCGCCCGGCGCCTCACCGTGATGTTGCAGTGGAGTGTGAGCGGCGGCGGCGGCGAGTGCGGGCTGCCCGGCGGCGGCGGCGGCGGCGGCGGCACCAGGAACTGGCAGTGCAGCTCGTCCAGCTTCCAGCTGACGATGCGGAATCGCTCGTGGTTCTTGTCGAAGATGGACGCCAGGAACTTCAGCTCGGCCTTGAGCCCTGACACGGACATCTTCCCCTCATCTCCGGCGGGAGGGGTGAGGAAAGGGAGCCGGGGCCGGGAGCCGCCGTCACGGCCGCGACCGCCCCGCGGGGCCGGCCCGGGCCGCGCTCTCGCGGCTCCGCCTCTCCCCGCCGCCGCGACCCGCGTCCGAGCGCGGCTGGAAAATGGCGAGGAGCGCGAGGCCTCGGCGGGCGGACGGGCGGGCAGGCGGGCGGGCGGGCGAGCGTGCGGGAGCCCGGCCGGCTCCTGCCTTTGTAACCGACTCCACCCGCAGGAGGCGGTGGCCCCGCGGCTTAAAAGGGCAACAGCGACGCCGCCCCCGCCGCCGCCTGCGAGAGGGCTGCCCCCGCCCCGGCGCGCGCCCGCCCGCGAGCTCCGTGCGCGCTCCCGACCGCCCCCTCCTCTCACGACCCAGCCCCCTTCCGCCCGGCGCCGGGCTCCGCGCCCCGCACCCGCAGCCCGGAGGATTTGGGCCGGCGGCACCACACGCGGGCGAGCCTGAATCCCCCGCGCGCCGCTGCGCCCGGGCCTCTGGCCAGACACGTGCGCGGCCTATCGCGCCGGCCACGTCGGCTCCAGCAGGAAGCGCGCGGGCCCCTGGAGGTGGCTCCTCCGCGTGGTTGTCCGCGGGCCACCCACTCACCTGGGCTGGGCGCGGCCAGGATGGGGAGATGAGAGATGCACGCCTCGCTGCTTCACCTCTGCTGCTCTCGCTCTGCTCTGAGCCGAGCCACCCACCACTTTTCTAAGTGTGGCTCCTGAAAGGTCCTTCTCGCCCGACTTGTGCTCCCTCCTTCGCTCCCATTTGCCGAAAAATGATGGTGGAGCCTCTGCCTGCTTCTTGTCATCATCATTTCAGTCTTGCTCGTAAACATTTCTGTCTCACGCTAACATACGTACTCCGCCTCCTGAGTTCCTTCTCTACTGCACTGTCTGTTTGTTGAAGTCGCAGCTCAAATGTATCAAACTGATCGTTCCTGACAAACAAAGCTAAAGTAACCGTGTAAAATACCCAGTATCCCATCGCTGCACTAACTTATGGTTTATTTCTGTTTGTTGCTTGTCTCGGCTTTACACTGAAAACTAAGAGCAGTGCTCCCAGGATCGTGGGGAGGGTAGCCTAGTAGACACCAGGGTCATTTAATAAATATTTGCTCTTATTGAGAATCCCCAGTGCTTAACACAATTCCTGGCACATTCCAGGTGCCCACACAAAGAGAAGAAAGCCTACATTGCAGTCTAAAGAAACACCATATAATTGAGAGGTAGTTAGTTAATAGTATAGTACATGTAGATGTAGTCACGTGTTCCAGAGGCAGGAACCTGGGCATGCAACCTATGTAGCACCCAGGGCTCCTAGCTTACTTAGTAAGGCCCCAGGCCTGGTTTAATCGTGAAATTCTGTTTGTTTTATTTTTCAACACAGGGTTCCACTGAGTAGCCCTGGCTGTCCTGGAATTTACTCTGTAGATCAGACTGGCCTTGAACTCACAGAGATCCTGCTGCCTCACCCTCCCAAGTGCTGAGATCAAAGGCATGCACCACTTTTCACCCAGCTTTGAAATTTTTATATTTTGAATAAGGGACTGTGCTTTTTTGCCTTTTCCTGAACTTGAGGTACCTAGCCTTGCTGCTTAAATGTCTCCTGCTTCAAACTCCTTAAATTACAACACAGGGAGACATTGGGTTTTTATTTCCATTTCTGAGCTTCCTAGTCTTCAGAAGGGCGATGGATTCCGTTAAAAACCTAAGAAAGTTGTAATCTTATCTTTCCAGAAAAATATTTTCACTTATGAAACTTGTGCTTGTGAAGATTTGTGGCTGCAGCACCCATACACTGGGGCTGAGAGCAGGGTTTCCAGTCCTGGGCTCTTGAGCTAGAAGTAATATATTACTGCCCTAAACCCAGATGTTACCTGTCACTTCATTTGTTTTCTTTCAGTCCCTGGTACTCAAGATCCTAACAGACATGGTAGTTATAAACAAGGATTAGCAGCATTAGCAGCAAAGGGGACCATTCTGGTCAGAACCAGGTATTGCTAAACAAGTTTTATTTGGTTATCTCTAAATGCTATAAGATGATAAAAAGCTTCTATACAGTGACTGATTTGACTGATTACATCTCATAGATATGTACAAATACTACATTAATTTTTGTCATAGGGATCAGTGTGTCCCGAGCCCTAACAATATAAGAAAACAAGAAGATTATCTGTAGTCAAGAACATCACAAAGAAAACACTGTCTCCTGGTGTGTTATGCTGCAAATAGCAGGAATGGTTGAAAATGGCATAAATAATAAAGAAATACGTTGCTTCATGTAATAGTGCTTAATAATGGCATCAAGAACTCAGAGTCTTTGAAAGGGGTTTGTCAGGTTGAATGTAAGCAGGTCGTATCCAGACAAAGTATCCAGAGATAGAAAGGTGCATTATTTCATGTCTCCTTCTAAGACATGGGAACTTTTTCAAGAATCCTCCCAGTCAACAGCCCTCATATGTACTCATATATACAGTAAAGCCAGGGCCCAGGAGAAAGCTCAAAATGAAATGTCATTTGTAACTAGATTTTGGAGCCTTGGCATGTATGATTTCATCTGGTAAGAGTCACCACTTTTAGAATAGTTTGGCATTACTATAAAAAAAAGGATTAATACTGACTCAAGAGGACAAAATCACCATGGGGGGGGCAATAAACTCAAGTTCTCTAAATCTGGCCTGACCCAAGTTTTTTGTTTCTGTTTTTGCTTTTTTTAGGTATTATTTGTTTGTATATGTTTATGTGTGTATGTGTGGGAGAGAGGAGGAGAGAGAGAGAGAGAGGCGGTGTGTGTGTGTATGCAGAGGTCAACCTCTGGTGTCATTCCTCAGAGATGTCCATCTTGCTTTTTGGTTTGGTTTGGTTTTGGTTTTCAAAGCAGGGTTTCTCTGTTTTGCAGATCAGGCTGGCCTTGAACTCACAGAGATCCACCGGCCTCTGCCTCTGCACCACCACCACCCAGCTCCATCTTTCTTTTTGAGATAGGGTGTCTCACTGGTGTGGGGCTTGCACATGGAGTCTTCTATGATGGCTGCCTGACCATCAAACCCAAGGATCTTCCTGTCTTCAGCACAGACCTAGATATTTACATGGGTTCTGAGGGATCAAACTAAGGTATTCATGCTCATGTGATAAGCATGTTTCCAACTGACCTATCTCCCTAGTTCCCCACCCCTATTAAATGGAGCTGTTTATACCCATCTGTGAGGCTCTCCAGCTCCAAACAATACTGAGCCTTCAGTGGCAGACATTCTGACTGGGATGAGTATGGAAGGAAGAAGTCCTAAGTTGGGGCAGGGTTAGAGAATATATGTGGCATGAAAGTGGGAAGGGGACATTATCAGAGGAAGGGAACCATAGAGTCACTTGGGAAATAGGACGAAGCACAAATAACAAAATATAATGACATATGAATGAAAATGTCATAATGGGGGCTGGGGAGATAGCCCACTTGAGAAAGTGCTCACCTTGCAAGTGTGAAGACCTAAAGTTGATGCCTGTGGGCCACTGTCTTCATTAAGGATTAATGTAAGAGGAGCCAGACCATGTGGGTGGGGCCATCCCTGGGCTGGTGGCCCTGAGTTCTATAAGAAAGCAAGCTGAGCAAGCTATGAGGAGCAAGCCAGTAAGTATCACTTCTCCATGACCTCTATAACGGCTTCTGTCTCTGGGGTCCTTCCTTGAGTTCCTTCCCTGACTGATCCCTGGGTGATGGACTGCAAGCTATAAGCGGAGATAACCCTTTCCTCCCCATGTTGCTTTTGGTCATGGTGTTTTATCACAGCAATAGAAAGCTAAGATACCTCTAAAAGTAACAGTGTTTTTTAAATTAAAAGCTAGGTGAGTTGCACATGCTTGTAATCCCATCACTAGGGAAGAAGCAGAGACAGGCAAGATCCCTGGGGGCCACTGGTCAGTCAGCCTAACAAACCAGACCTACCACCTATTTTGTTTGTTTGTTTGTTTTGTTTGAGACAGTGTTTCTCTGTAATGCTTTGGAGCCTGTCCTGGAACTCAATGTGTAGGCCAAACTCAGAGAGACATGCCTGCCTCTGCCTCCTAAGTGCTGGGATTAAAGTCATACACCACCACTGCCTATCTTCAGACAGACTTTTTATCTTGGGTGTGGAGTTAGTAAGATAAGTCAGGGCAAAGACTACTTTAAAAAATTAAAATCTGAGCTTGGTAACATGAAACTAATTCCAGCATGAAGAGACAAATAGAAGGATCTCTGGGGCTTCCTGGCCAGCCAGAGCAACTGAATCAGTGCGCTCCAGATCCAGTGAGAGACCCTGCCTCAAAAAATGAGATGGAGAGCAATTGAGCAAGACATCCGATGTTGACTTCTGGCCTACACTCAGCACACACACACACACACACACACACACACACACACACACACACGTGTATAGAGGAACACTTTTATCATTGTAAAAGATAAAAGAGGGTCTACAGTCTTGGACATTTCAAATATGTTGATCTACCTTCCCAGTGGAGTAACTGAGAGCCTTTAGCAAGGCTGTATATATACCTAGAAGGATGCACCACCATACTAATAATGGACATTTATTAACAATCACTTTTCAGACTATTTCAATATTCTATCTGCTTATTTATATTTTCCAAACTATTGGTGTTGAATAGATACATGTTAGTAATATAAAAACACAGTTTAAAATTAGTCTATATACTTTAAGGTAGAGAGATGTCAGACATGGAAGAACTTTGCAAAGAACTTTTAAAGGACCAGTACATATTGGTTTGATTTAGTTTCAAGTGTGTGTTTGTGTGTGTACTTGCTGGTGTGTGTATGTGTGCTTGGATGCACATGCATGTAGAAACCAGAAGTCAATACCAGGTCTCTTCCTGCACTTCTCCTAATTTTGGGGGGTGGTTCTGGGATTTGAACCCAGGACCTCATAGGTTGCTAGGAAAGCACTCCACCACTGTACTACTTCCCAGGCCCACCTTACTTTTTTGAGGGCTCTCACTACGCCTGAAGCTTGGAAATTGAGCTAGACTAGCTGCCCAACAAGCCCCAGAGATCATCTGTGTCACCCTCCCACCCCGCTCTGGGGTTATAGGCTTATACCACTACACCCATATGTTTGTGTGACTGCTGGGGATTGAATTCAGGGCCTCATGTTTACTCTGCTGAGCACTTG